GGTTATGACCGCTACCCAGCAAAATCTGCGACTCAATAAAGAGTCGCTATTTCTCTCCGCTTCAATATCATTCTTAACAAAATTTATACGATCGCTAACAGTTTTGGTTCTCATTTAATGGTATATCCGTGGAGAAAGAGAGCTTAATTGTAAAGAAATTCGATAATGGTATGGCTCGACATTATTTGTAAGTATCATTCAGGGCTTTGGTTGCCTACCAGTTGAACCTTCAATGGGTCAGTATTTTAAGATGAACAGCAACTGATTGAAACTTCTAGTTATAGGCATAAACGCCGGCTCATTTCAAATACATTTTGCATGCCCTATTAGTCCTATGTCGAATTTCGAGTCCCTGAAAATAGCACTTGGCCCCTGAATAAGGAGGGCTCGATTTGCCGATGATTGCATCCCTACCAGAAGAGGAGAGGAAGTCCGGCGTTAGCCGGGCTGCCCGACTGGTGAAACATATCCCGCAAGCTTATATATCACATAAGAATGCGGTCGATTCCCTGATAAACTATCTTAGCCATTCTCTAGTATGAGGAAGAATGTCTCAAGTAGTACTACTCATTTCATCAAGGCTTGCCTGGAATGTATCCGGTTAAAAAAGAAACCTACTTGCCAGCCAGGGGTAAGGACTATCTTCCGCCTTTGTCACCAAGCGCTAGGCTGCGAGAAGTTGGAGCAAACGGCTTTGAACCTGTCCCGTTATGGTGCTCAGAAACGTTCCCTATCGAGGGGGATATATTGCTTCTATCAAACTCTAGAGGGGGGAAGCACTCCCGAATAGAAATAAATGGTTAGCCTTTTGAGTGTTCAATTCTACTCTCATTCCAGCTCTTCGCACATGGTAATCGCCTTACACACTACAAGAATCCTCCGCCACGAAGCTAAGGTACAAGCATTACTACCCTGGCTGAAAACCACATTCCTCAGCACCGCTACGGGCCTCAACGGCCAGCTACCTCCCGCCCCCACCCCCCTCCCATCTTTGCGCTCTATACATCCTTTAACGTTAGTATGTATCAGGGAATTGAAGCGTTTCAACGTGAAACAATGTATCAGTATAGCAGCACGTAAATGAACTTAATCAAATAGAGGCATGGTCGTCTTTATGGTGGTTGTGTTGGCCGGCGCTCCACATTGCGCTAGTCGCTTTCGATGCTTTGTTCTTCACTTAGCGTAACCTACATGCCATTCGCGCCCTGCACATCACGGACTTGATGTAATAGCCACCCACCGGTGTAGCCCCTTCGCTATCAAGTCATAGACTTCGCAGAAGTGTGGCTTTTCCAGTCTTTTTCTCTTTCTTTTAGATGTAGACCTCTATCAAGATGTTCAAACTTCGAAATTACCACATGGTTTCGGTCTCATCCAAATGCTTGAAAAGTTCCTAAAAACTTTGGGTATCCTCATAAATCGCTCTCGCGAGCGCATGCGACAATTTGTTTTCGACTGCATCCACGTTTAACTTAAAAAACCTACCCACTTGATTGAGTTACTAATGATGAAAGCTGGAAGCAAGTGAAGATAATCCCAATACACGACTGCTTGGGCGGCCTAGTCTCAAGGAACTGCCCAGAAGCACCTATCAGCACAACATACTGTTAAAGGTAAGCTATTCTGCTCTGAAAAGGAAAAACCATTGTCTTTGTCGTCACTAACTCTCGATCGTTCATCAATGAGGGGTAAAAACTGTACGGGCGATTTCTTAATTAGTTCATGTCCAACGACAGAATTAAATGAAACGAATTCCGATACAATCTGTCTCTGACCTGTTCACATGCAAGTTTGCATTGTATGCTGATTGAAATTTTTCTGAGAAGCTAGTACGTTCAGATCGCTTTAGATTTCGAATCGAATTCGGTTTTGATTCTTGCTCTCCTATACGAAATTCCTAGGAATCGCTTCCTCGCAATGATAAGAAATATGTGTTCAGGGCTTTGAATTGGCTCCAATGCAGAAATTTCATTGCCTGTATTCAAACATGATCTGAAGGATCAGAAACATCTTTCCCCAAAAAACTCGACAATCTGGCAATTTTTCCGCCAAGCAATGCTATCCTAATCAATTTTACGATTATTTTACGATTGGAAATTGTAGTGACGATGATCCTTCCCTCTCTGATATTTTCATCATCACCAAAAACGAGATGTCCTTTACGAGTTGTTGACGTTCAAACTCTGACCCTGTTGGTTCTGGGTCATATCGAGCGGGTGTAATACCGTTCCTAGGTAAAGAATGCCGGTAGAGTCACGAGTTGTGCATAATGGTGTCAATGAACAAATGGATTTCTCTGTATTTAATACCACCACACTTGATCGCTAGACTAGATCAAGCTAGTTTGTTACCGTCTCTGGTAGGTTTGGTATCACCTTGGGAGCTGTTATTCCCACATCTTCCACTGAACGTTAACATCTACATATAAGTACTATTACCTCAGGGGTAACATTAGTTAGGAGTTTTGCCTTTCCCTTCTTTCTGTAACTCATCGATTCCATCTTCCTTGAACTTGGAAAATGTCCTGATACAGATGCTCATGTATGTTTTCCCATGGCAAATTTGAAGCCTACGAAGAAGGTCAAGCAGGAAGTCGCAGACGAGAAGCCGTCATTTCAGTCTGTCTTTCTATTCCTTGAAGTATGTAATATCGTTAAGGTGCAAATGGTATAGTGACAAGTGGCACGCTATCACTCACGTATGATCACGGGGGGAATCCCGGATCATATTTGCCTCGGGCAACCAAGCATTGCATTCCTTAGGGGTCGCTTATTTGGTGCTAGACTCGTCTGGGAGGACAAAAGGACTGACTTGCACATCGGCTGCCCACCATAATTCACAGTTCATGTCACAAACGCATTCAACTGCCACAACTATTTCGAATGGAAGTCGAATGCGGGGGTGCATCCCCCGGGATTTACTGAACGCCCGAAGAATCTATTTTTTATCCTTTCATAAATTATCGTTACATCTATCCAGCTTTAACAAAAAAAACTGCAAGGTAATAGCCTCCTGAAAAGAGACTTTACTTCTGACTTGGGCCATTCGCACCTCCTCCAATCACAGTTTGTAGATGAGCTAATATTGCTTCCACTGACTTATAATAGAAACTTTGTTATGTTATTATTACAATTGCACATTTGAAATAGTAAGATAAAAATGAAAAAGTGAAACCATGGCATCCTAATACATGCACCAAAAACATAAAACCTGACAGTGGACAAATCTGGACACTTTTTGCGATGTTTTGAAAAACAGTAGAGAGGCCCCTCTCTGGTAACCAGTTTGCTTGCAGACGAGCTGTTAGAGTGAGTATTTCCCACACTGTAATAAATCAGTTTATTATAAGTTCACATTTGATTTTCAACATTGCATTGCACATTTCATGTTCATAAGGAGTTGTTTCTTTTCCTTCTCAAATTTTTGAATGTTGCAAATTTTATTTAATTTATCACATCGATATTATAATGGTCCGTATAAGCTGGAGGGAGATCAGTAGAGCCTATGAGAGAGGTCATCCCGCAGGCGAATGAGTAGGGGTGACCTTACCCATTTGCCTGGGGATGACCTTATTCAGTGCCAATGCTGCATAGCAGCATAACCTCGACGTTCCTTGGAATCCAACAAATAGATTCACCCTACTCCTTTTTATCCTTCTTGAATAGTCTCCATCTCCTACTTTATCTCCTTCGTTCCCTATAGTAGACTGCGCCACCCACGTTTGACTTTGACATCCATAACTGATGCTCTTCACACATTTGCTTCTATATGCGTGTAAAGCGGTCGAATTTTCCTTTTGCTTAGTGGGAGCCAATTCAGATTCATTTTCCTTTAGCCGTTTCCTCGTCACAACTCCTAACCTACATCTCTCCTTCCTCTTCTTGTTGCCGTATGGTACCTATTTAATTTGAAAACTAAACCGCTCTTCTCATAACTGCCGTTACACACTGTTGCGCTGGTCTGCAATATCTTTGCCCTTTCCGCGTGTGTTTCGCTTTTGTCTCTCTGTCGTTGCAGAAACATTCGTGCTAGCGATGTACATTGAAGGTAATGAGCTGGCAATTCGCACGGTGACTTTGAAAGTGTTTTTAAAACATCACTGCTGTCAATGTATTGAGTTTTTCCTGGAACCTGGCCTCCGATCACTTCTATTGTCTGCCTTGTCAGTTCCTTATCGGCATAATTGCGAGTGCTGGTAAACGTAATAAAGGAACTTTTTGATTGATGTCTCAGGCGGCACCTGATAGCCGACCTCTTTACCGACGGCACTAAGGGCGCGGCTGCAATTCATCTTACTCGAAAACATATCAACGAGAGGTGTTTGTCAAAACACAAAACGAGGTGCCCTGTTGTTTCTTCTTACATGTTATGAGAATCACCAAACCAGCCTCATGAATTAATTTTGCATTTTTTTTTGAACGATTAGAATAGTATACGTATGTATAAAAGTGCTCTCTTTAGCAGATATGCTTGAGCTTCGTATAAGCATTGCTAATGCATAAAAATAATTAGCAACGCTGAATATGTTTAGTGCCTGATCAAGAGAAACACTCTAGAAGGGCCGTCTTTCAGTTCAAACGGCATATGGTAGTGTGCAGCTCATAAAAACGCATCATGATGAGGCGATAAGTCATTCTCATTTTGTGGATTCCAAAAATCTCAAATTGATAAGGTTATGACCCATTTTATAAGTTACGAAATTCCTGTCCTCTATGAACATTTCTCAGTTTTGTCATGTGTGTCTCTTTATTTAGGCGTTATAGGTTTCGGCTCCTGCTGGCATGTACACATTCGCCAATGTATTATTCTGATTACTCGTTCGCTTGGGATAATCGTTGATTTCATATCTCCTTACAGAAACCTCACTGAAGTTGCTGCACAATGAAGCTACTGTTGGTTCTCTTCACGACGACGATATTTGCTGTGAGTATTGGTTACTCTTCAAAGACTTGATGTAATGGATATTGTTGTGTTCTAGGCTGTTTGGGCAGAATCGAAGGATGAAGATATTGCAAGTCAAATTTCCAAGGATATCCATAGACATAAGGTAACGACTAGGTCAAGTTCATGAAAATGCATTTAAAATAAGTCAATCGGTTGGTTTTGGAAGCTGCGGGACCATTACAAAAAGGCTACTCGAGCTATGTATCAGAGTGCTTGTAAATGTGGGCCCATGATTTTAAAACGTCCTGTTTTTTGAATATTCAGCAAGATGGGCGAAGATGGTGCAGCAGCAAGTGGCGTACTATCACAAACGCATTGTCCTTGGGTCGAATCCCAGTTGATATCCGCCCAAGCCAAATTGGCCTTCCATCCCTCCGGAGTCGGTCAGTTGGAACCAGTTCTGTCTGAGAGAATGGAATCACCGACTTGTACATCATTTGTATTGGCCAAACAAACATTAAACACGTCCGTACAATCCTGGATGGAACTCGAACGTGGGAGCGCACTTCGAGATGGGAAAACGGCCTAGCTTTATCTTCATTCTGAAAATTCCCGTAGACATACTATAAAAGGGTCCTACTCACTGAAATGCACATCGAGTATCAGCAGATTTCATGATGTCGCAGTCGCTCAGAGGTCGANGAACCAGTTCTGTCTGAGAGAATGGAATCACCGACTTGTACATCATTTGTATTGGCCAAACAAACATTAAACACGTCCGTACAATCCTGGATGGAAGTCGGACGTGCGAGCGCACTTCGAGTCGGGAAAGCGACCAAAGCTTTATCCTATCATCCTCATTCTGAAAGTTCCCGTAGACATACTATAAAAGGATCCTACTCACTGAAATGCACATCGAGTATCAGCAGATTTCATGATGTCGCAGTCGCTCAGAGGTCGAGCTCATCTTCCATCCCCTTATTGGGGATCTGAAACATTGGAAGTAGGCCTGTGCAGGACCACTCAAAAGGGATTCTTAGGACGAATATTCGCCATAAGTTCCATCGAGCTTCAGTACAGCGAAGTAGCCTGATTCTGGCTAAAAAATAGTACGCGTGTCAATATAGAGAATGTTGAGCTGCTCTACAAGTTGACCTGTGTGTCTTCAGAATGTGGCTGCTCAATTATTCTACAATGACCCTCTGGATTATTACCCACGGATGATGGGTGAAGGGAGCATCTGTAGGAATACAACCGAAGTAGATGCTTTAGCAAGAGGGTCGAGGAGTAATTTCTATTGATGATTGTTTCTTGAAATCACTGGAAAGCTCTTTCTCTTTTTTGTTATATGCATGTTTAATCAGAGCTCTAAGAGCTCGACCTCCACCGACTGCACCTCACACAAGGCCTAAATGTTGTGCGGTGGAGGAGGTAGTTTTGATGTTTGAGATAGACCGAATCCGTTCATTTAAGAAGAGAAAGGCAGAAAAGAAGAGATATCAAATGAATTCGCTGGTTTACTGTCCGTATCTACACCTGCGAAGCTTAGGGATCATTGTTGAATCGGTAGAAAACAAAGAAGGAACTCGTCGGAGGATACGAAAATTCGGTGTCACACTCGCTATCCCTTAATAAGAAGTAGCTTAATCTCTGTGCCTAATTAGAGTAGGCACCACTTCCGGCTTCGAAAGGCGTATTCAAAGTTAAGAAAGGAAAGTAACGTTTTTCGCGTCTGATCGATTCTATGGGTATGCGCCCTTATCTTTAGCGCCCGTTCAGAATCGTAATGGCATTTACATGCACGTTTGACCATTACAAGGATAAGCAAAGACCTACATATAGACATAGGCGGTAACACTTTCTGGGTGGTTTCTTTTCCTTAACTTGGTCACTTTGAATATGATCCTTCAACGTGCCCGTGGGCACTACCCCACCCTTACCTAAGATGCTAAGTTAGCATGTGAAAGCTTATGCAGTTGTACTTGTTCCTTAACTTATTTCATTTAGCGACTCTTACCCATTGCTCCTAATTAAAGGATGAAGAATAAACCCATGGTGCGTTAATCTATCCCGTTTGAGGGATTTGCCCACGCATTCGACCTCCATTCAGAATTGTAGTGGCGTATTGAATGCGTATGTTGCCTATACAATGACTTGGGGTGGCCAGCCGATGTACAAGTCAGTGCTTTTATCCTCCTAGCGAGCAAGGTACTAATTAACTGACCCCATAAGGATGGGAGACTTGGTTGGCGTAAGCCGGTCTCGATCCGGGATTCGAACCGGTGACCATACGCGTGTAAAGTGCGCTGCTTGCCACTACACCACCTCCGCCCTGCTATTACTAATTGTTGTAGATTCTAAACTATCACTCATGGTTGTGGAATTTAAACTGTAACTGTTGAGGTATCTAACATTTCAGGAAACTTATTTTTTTGTTTCAGGTAGTTGTATACAGCAAGACGTACTGCCCTTACAGCAAGAAGCTGAAAAGAATGCTTGGTCAATATAAAATCAATGATCTAAAAATTATCGAGCTGGACAAGCAGAAGGAAATGAAAGCGATGCAGGTCACTCTGAAAATATTTTTCATTTTCTTCGTTCACTTTAGCTCCTTTTTTGGAAAACGACTTCCCTCGAGAAACAGGTATGTTTCAGGCAGTCCTTAAACGGATGACGGGTAAATCTACAGTGCCTCAACTCTTCATTGGTGGAGAATTTATTGGAGGTCATGATGAAACTCGACAGATTGAAGATAAAGGGGGATTACGAAAACTTCTTGAGAAAGCCCATGCGCTGTGATATCGTCCAGTTGAATGGTCGATGTTTTTTATGAAACCGCTGATTCACCTCTGAATATTTCACTCCTTTCCTAGTGCCATTCGTTGTTTTTCATGCTAAGTCCACAAATTTTTCACTATCAAACCTACTGACCAACTCAGGTGACTAAGTCAGGTACTGAGAATAATTCACAAGCATTTCCATGAAGAATAGAGCTTAATACAGCAGAAAACAGTAATTAGAACTAATAGATCCGTTCTGTTGTCGAATGCGGCCTTAAAACGATATAGAGTCACATGAGCACCTTTTTATGGGTATGACCTCTTTTCTTCCTCTATACTCTTTCTACTAGAACAATAACAGTGATTTTGTTTTAGTATTTAGCTATTTTTGGCCAGTTAGTGACCTACTTCTCTTGTCGATTCTGTTATGTGAATGGGCGAACAATTCGTCCTTTATTTGTACATAAATATAATGGTGAACGTGCAGTTGTTGTTATAATTGCGTATCCGGTGCGACGAAATGAGTTAGTTGCTCTGTGGGTAATCTTCTGGGAACAACCAACTCTAAAAGAATCGGTACGGGTCCGGGATTAATATCCGGTTAGACCAACAAAGCCTTCCATTCCCCCGGCGTCGGCTAATTGGTAGAATTCTCGTCTGAGAGGCTGAAAAAATTGAGTTGTGCATCGGCTGACCACCGGAGATCATTGTATAGGCCACATATGCATAAAGATACAAACTTTTTAGAGATAAGGTTTCTACGGAAGGTCCCTGTACACAGATAGTAAACTCCTTCTGGTCATCAAACTACGAAGACATGCCCCTCTTTAGAACGAGTATCATCGACGAACTGGTATTTGCAAAGAATTCGGCTTATAAAGTCATCAAACAGGTAGGGGGAAGGAAAGTTACTGGGAGAGGAGTGACAAGAACACTTTCTGCTGGTCGGACATCCATCACCCCTTGACCTTCCGTGCGAGCCGGATCCTACGAACAAGGGCACTGAGCTGAGTTTCTAGCTGACGCGTGTTGCCAGTGTATGTAGATGTAACAAGTTAGCGGTGGATTAGTGATTAAGGCCACAAGAGCGTGTTCTGATTGATGAGCTTCATCTGCCGAGATTTTTAAGAGAGGTGAAGGTGTCCGACTATCCACAGAGCATGCCATCCGCATTCTTTGGAAATGGTATTAAGAAAGGTTGATATTGTGATCCAGACAGACAATCGCACGCACGAGTACATACCTTATAGATGATCCTACTTCTTTCGAAAAGAAAATGTTCCAGAATCTCGCAACCTCGCTTAACAGCATGATGGTAAGAAGGTTCATAGAGGTCTGAGGAGCTTCTTCGATGAGCGCAGAGCCAGAAACACAGCATAGCACGTTGGTGTGAAGGTAATCGTCATGGTGTAGCAGAGGGTCAGTCAAATGCACAAAAATGAAGCGTTTCTGGACAACGAGAACAGCTGCGACTTTTTCTGCCAATGCCAGAGGGGCTTTTATTGAAATTAGTGAGGGGAGGGACCTATCTATCTGAAAATGTGCCTACTAATCCGTCCGCTTGGAGGGAGAACAATCTGCCTTACAATGAGACCATGACGCTTTTAAGCTATGGACCAACAGTTCCTCCCTGAATGCACTGTCAGTCATACGTTACGTATTATCATAGCGATAGTTCAGTTTTCAAATTATTGTCATATTCACTGAAGAGCTGACGTACATAGAGTGGTTTAGCATAGGATAGGGCCCATTGTATTTGATTGCGGACTTGCAAGATAATAATATGGCAAGAGAACAACCGCTATGGGAGTAGCTCTGTGGACTATCCGCTTGAGCCATGACCAACTAGCTGTAAAAAGTGGGGGTAAATATTCCTCCTCATACCCCTCCTGGCTCCTATCTTAAAAAGCACAACGCCGAGACCGGCCAGCAGCCACTGAACAGCAGCTATAAAATAGTCAGCAAGGTAATCTGTTCACAATTATCGTCTATTAGTTGATTCACCTTGAGTCTTTTGTTCGTCACCTTAAAGGCACTGTTCACGAAAAAATGGTTTCGGAGATTTGCACATGGTTTGAATTCGACGCCCCCTCTTATACCATTTGTGCAGGAATGAGTTCGGAAAACGGCTGGATAGGGCACAATAAGGGGCCGGAGAGTGAGCCA